TGAGTTACATGCTGCAATATTCTTAGCCTTTGACTTGCTCTTGTAACCACCAGGTATACGTGGCGAGTCAGTTCAGTTTTTAGTCAACTGTAACTCTCAGGATGTTAAAAAGTGGGGGATATACCTCTGGGCTGGAAGCTCTGATACAAGTCACAACTGCTCCAGAGGTGTGTCTTAACATGTCTGGATAATTTGCATAAACATATCTAAAACTGCTGCAGTTTTACCTTTTGCTCTGTTCCTCTCTGTGCTACATCTGTGTAGGATTTCTTTTGGCAGTTGTGTCGATCAATTGGAATCCTACAATGTCAGCTACAGCCTGAAGCTCCTTTCACTCTAAATCATTCAGGTTAAAACCCATTTGAACTCTAATGGGCCCTGAATGCTCAAAATTATGGATTTTTTGCCTGAAAGTCATAAATTTAACATCCTATTCTGAAGGTACAACCGCTGATAAATCGCAGTCTCAGAGTGTAGCTTTGGAGTATTAAGTAAAATCTTCTGCTCATATTTCTGGAGTGGGCCTTAAATACACAACCTGTGAGGGGAATGTTCTACCTTCCAGAGTTAGAGCTGCAGGTCCTTTTAAGGCTCGAGTAGAACAGTTCCAGAGCTTATTGAGGGCAGACAATGCTCATTGGACATTGTTTTTGAGAGCTGAGCTACAGAAGGCAGAGAGTGGGGATAAAGATTTTTGTTCAGGATGGCAGCAGTGGCTAGTGGAGTTCCACAGGGGTCCGAATTGGGACCACAACTATTCACATTATACATGAATGGTCTGGTCGAAGGAACTGAGGGCATTGTTGCTAAGTTTGCGGATGACTGAATGATAGGCAGAGGGACAGATGATGTTGGGAAGCAGGGAGGCGACAGAAGGACTTGGACAGACTATGAGAGTGGGCAAAGAAGTGGTAGATGGAATACAATGTGGGAAAGTGTGATGTTCTGCACTTTGGCAGGAAGAATAGAGGCATAACTATTTTCTAAATGGGAAAGGCTTCAGAAATCTGAAGCACAAAAGGATTTCGAGTCCAAGTTCAGGATTTTCTTAAGGTTAACTGTTGGCAGTTCGGAAGGCACATGCAACGTTAGCATTCATTTCAAGAGGGCTAGAACGTAAGAACAGAGACGTACTGCTGTGGCTGTAAAGGCTCTGGTGAGACCACATTTGGAATATTGTGAGCAATTTTGGGTCTCCTGTCTGAGGAATGATGTTCTGGCCTTGGAGGAGGTTCACAAGAATGATCTCAGGAATGAAGGGCTTATCAAATAAGGAGCAGTTGAAGACCTTATTTGATGGAGTTTAGAAGGATGAGAGGGCTGGCGATCTCATTAAAACTTTCAGAATACTGAGAGGTCTGGATAAAGTGGACATTGAGATGATGTTTCCGCTAATAGGAAAGACCAGGACCTGAGGGCATAGCCTCAGAGTGAAGGGACAGCTCTTTAGAAGACAGATGAAGAGGAACTTTTTTTGTGGTTTTGAAAGTAGTTAATCTGTGGAACTCATTGTTGCAGAAGGCTGTGGAGACCAAGTCATTGAGTGTATTTAAGACATAGATAGATAGGTTCTTGATTTGTAAGCGGATCAAGGGTTACAGGGAGAAGGCAGCAGAATGGAGTTGAGAAATATATCAGCCATCATCGAATAGTGGAGCAAACTCAGTAGGCTGAATGGCCTCATTCTGCTCCTCTATCGTATGGTCTTATGAACTAAGGGAAAAGTGGAGACTGATATTTGTGTGAAATTATAGATTAACAACAAAACCCTTATAAACCTCAGATAACAAGGCGTAGAGCTTGATGAACACAGCAGGCCAGGCAGCATCATAGGAGCAGAAAAGCTGATGTTTCCGGTCTGGACCCTTCTTCATTTTTCTGAAGAAGGGTCCAGACCGGAAACATCAGCATTCCTGATCCTCTGATGCTGCTTGGCCTGCTGTGTTCATCAAGCTCTACACCTTGTTATCTCAGATTCTCCAGCATCGGCAGTTCCTACTATCCCTTATAAACCTCAGTTTTTGCAACCAAATTCAACGTGTAGATATCAGTACTTCAAACACTATCTACTGTGCCGCAGCTAATACTGAGTCAGAGAATAAGGGAGGGTGAGAGTGACAGAGATTTGGATTTACAGCAACAAGCACATTCAGAATTAGTGGATTTCTAATCTACCAATGTTTGTTCATGCACCTGCTTTTGTAATAATGTTAAAAACTCATTACATCTTGATTTCAGGAAAATCAAATGTAAATATTGATTGAAAGGATGTAATAACTCCAGATCAGAAAATCAGTAATGCAGCGCTGGAAGCAACCATTGTCAAGATCTTGAGAAGCATTTTGTACTTTCATCAGTTCCCTTGCTCTCACCAAGCCAATGTTTATAAAAACTGAAAGAACTGCAGATGCTGTAAATCAGGAACAAAAACAAAGTTGCTGTAAAAGCTCAGCAAGTCCGGCAGCATCTGTGAAGGAAAAAACAGAGTTAACGTTTCAGGTCTGGTGACCCTTCCTCAGAAGCCCATGTTTATTCTGGACAGGGGTAGAATGATGTCGCCATTGTGATGAATAAATTTCAGGACACAAAACCAGATTAAGAGCCAAACTCTCTTAAAACATAGACCGTCATTCACTTTTGAAAAGAAACTATACAGTATTATTTCGCAAGACTGCTCAACAGTCAGTCCCATAAGAAATACTTGCTTCAAACAGAGGGTAAATACTGAAGGGTTGTTGTTGGTGCTTAATTGAACAATACACCTTTGTACACTCAGGATGAATTTTCTTTACAATCTTTTATTATAAACGAATGCAATAAAAAAACTAGAATTTGCATAACATTGAGGATTCAGTACTAATGCTTTGTGAAAACATACAGGCAAATTATGGATCATTGAATAAGAATGTGAGTGAATTACAATCCATTCAGCAAATATCATGAACTTTTTTCAAATAACTGTATTCATAAATATATATATACACACAGACGTATACATAAAATGTTATTATGTATGTATATTTTATATCATCATTTGTTATTTATGCTTTTTTTAGAAAAACATGAGTTAAAAAAAACACCAGAATACTAGTGAAAGTTAATTAACCATATGATTGCATCAAAGGAAAGTTACTTTGAACACAACTGCATGCATTTTGGAAGGGCTCATCTGAGTGAACAGATGAAAGGTGAATTTAGGATTGATATTCAGCCACCTTTTCATTCACTTATTGATCAACACTAAATTCCCACATGAGGAAACGGAGTCAACTCTTTTGAGACAATTGGTTGCTTACTGGGGGAATATATTTTCCTAATCACCCTGTTCAGAGATGTCATTACGCACCTTTGAGCAGGTGGGACTTGTATTTAGGTCTCCTTGTCCAGAGGAAGGGACAATACCACTGCACCACAAGAGTCTTGCATTGTTTGGGGAGGGGGTGGGGGAGGGTTTTGGGTAGATCGAGGTGTTCCTGAATGGAAAAACAATTGCCAAACTTGCCTTCCTCATCTGTGATGTTTGTGGAAACACATGAGCCTCATTCAGAAATGGTAAATATCAACCACAATCTTTCTTGCCTTTCTAAGTAGAAGTGAAGAAAAATTTTAAAATAAGGCAAAGCAGTCTTTCAAGACCTTCTCATCTGGTTGTAGTCCCACTGTTGTTAACTTTCATTCGCGATTCCATAAAAGCAACAATCCTTCAATCACCAACTCACTTGATTTCCATCTTCCCACACTACAGAAATCTCACAGAGGAGGAGTGGGAATGTCACTCTCCATCCAGAATCTAGGTTGACAGAATTGGCCCCAGGTTAGTAGTAGCACAGCGAAGACATTTATTTTAATTGAAGATACTCTCAACAAAACGTTGTCAATATTGAGAAAGATTTTGGAGGCTGGAGGCAGAATCTTCCTGTTTTCAGCTTGAAGTTCGAATGCAAGAGGTACTGACAGCCTGTGAGGGTGAGAAGATCTGCTGGATTTTACAGCAATCAGGCAGTTGACTGGCCTTCTGATGGCAGGGGCCATGGCTGCTGCCAGCACAATGTTCCCAGACAGCCCACAGAAAAGGTAAAGTGTCATGGTTTTGGTCTCATGGGGTGGAAGATGAGGGAAGATGGGTCATGGGGGTCCGAAGCAAGGCCCTAGATCCAGCATCCGATCATGCACAGAGTTGTACGTATTGAGGGAATGCCATACTACCCCACCAACCTCCCCCCACCCCAATTAAAATGTCAACCCACACGCACTGGATAATCATTCAGGTAGGGCCACTCTTTCTCACCTTTGCCCGGAGCTGGAATAAGTGCAGCTTAGGCTGGACAAGGACCTTCAGTTGTCGGTAACTACTCATGGTCTACCACCATCAAATCTAATTAAGTTCACTTCCTGCCTTCCGGCACGGAAGCTTCAAGCTTTGAATATGTGGCCATCTATGGATTGCAGTGTTGTCAGCAATTCCTTCATCTTTATCATTTTCAGTCACTTTTTTTTATTCTTATTTCCCAGTTAATCAAAATTGATAAGAGGAGAAGTGTAGAATGGATAAATATACAACCTGCATCACACATGAGACATATAGAACATAGAACATTACAGCGCAGTACAGGCCCTTCGGCCCTCGATGTTGCGCCGACCTGTGAAACCTATCTGAAGCCCATCTAACCTAAACTATTCCATTATCATCCATATGTTTATCCAATGACCATTTA